CAAACTGACTGCACATAATTTCACTTCAACACTTAACCAGCCTTGCATAGTGGTTTTTCATTCCTCACCATGCAAGGTGTGCTGTCTTTTGTTTTGCACATATAGAAGGACTGATTGGTTGGTTGGTTTTTTAAAGTTCTATCCAGTAACAGCTAATCAATGGATATCTAAAGAGGCAAAAAGACAGACTGGTGCAGCCACTGTGGAAAACAGTATGGAGTTTCCTCAAAAAATTTAAAATGGAACTTCCATTTGACCCAGTAATCCCACTTCTAAGAATATATCCCAAGAAAACAGAAACACCAATCAGAAAGGATATATGCACCCCTGTGTTCATAGCAGCACAATTTATAATAGCTAAGATTTGGAAACAGCGTAAGTGCCCATCAGCAGATGGGTGGATTAGAAAAGAGTGGTACATCTACACAATGGAATACTATGCTGCTATTAAAAAGAAGGAACTTTTACCATTTGCAACAGTATGGAAGGAACTGGAGAGCATTATGCTAAGTGAAATAAGCCAGTCAGAGAAAGATAAATATCACATAGCTCACTCATTTGTGGAATATAATGATCAACATAAACTGATGAGCAAAAATTAGAACCAGAGACACAGAAGCATCGAACAGACTGTCCAACCTATGAAGGAAGGTGAGGGGTGAGAGGGTAAAAGATCAGCCCAAGGACTTGTATGCATGCATATGAGCACAATGGACACACTGTAGGGGGTGAGGGCATGTGCTAGGGGGTGGGAATGGCCAGGGAGAGGTCAATGGGGGGAAAAGGAGACTCATGTAATACTTTAAATAAAAAAGAATTTAATTTTTTTTTAAAAGAGGCAAAAAGAAAGTGAGATTCCTGACAGGCAGAAATGGCATATAGTCTCACACGAATCAGTCCTTGCACAGCACAACGCCAGGATCATTCTAATCAGCACTTATGTTTGACCACAAAGTTTAAAATATTTCTGTTTTAACTCAAGGATGACCAGAACAGACTGGTGAGTGGGAAGTGATAATATGTTGCTATCTTTAAAAAGTCCTGATTCTAAACTAAATTACTTATTTTCTTATTCTTTATTATAATTAATATTTAATTTTGTCATTATTTTCATATAAATTTTTATTTTCTAGTTTTACAATCAAAAACTGAAGGGAAAATGTCAAATATGCTTTGGGGAAAATGCTTTAAAGTATAATTTTTTGAGATCAGTGAACACACTCCCTTTCCCCTTATTCTGATCTTCTGAATCATAGACAACGAATCCTCAGCTATTTAGCTAATGAATCCAGTCTTCTCAATTTACAAATAAGAAAAAATAATGTACAGATGGATTAAAATGACTTGCTCAAGTTCACAGGTGTAATGGCAGTTTCTAGTGCATACCTCTCTTGTTCTAAACCACTAACACTGAATATGTGTTGAATGAATTCAGAGAGGCAAGAAATTGCTCTAGTGTGGGATCATTGGAAGAAATAAAACTGAAAAGACGTCACCATTTTTAACCACTTTTTCACCAAAATAACACATGCTAGTAATAGAAAATTTGGGAAATATTGAAAGTATAAGGAAAGGTGATGGATGCAAATTATTCATAATCCCATCCCATGAAAGTAGTGCTATTGGTGCTTCCCCAGCATGTTATTTATTGTTTTCTATCATTGTGATCACATTACTTACCAAGAAACATAACTCAAAAGCTAGTCCAGGTTGTAAGAAGTTCTTCATAAGTACCATTTTAATTGCTTTATAACAGTCCATTTTTGCCACAACATTCTTAACTTTCCTCCTCTTTTTTAATAATTAGAAGGGAAAGATGTATATGACTAATGGAAAGATATCTGGAAAAGAATATGTAATTAAAACACCAAATACAGATATTTGATCTTTGATATTGTGGGTGATTTTCGTTCATTGTTTTGTTTTGTTTTTTATAGTTTTCAATGCTGGAGAAACACTTAAAAGAACACCTACTTTTATTGAGCATTTACCATGCACTATATGCTACATTTACATTTTCTCACTTAGTCCTCATAACAAGTAACCAAAATCACTATTATATATCTTCCTTTTAAAGCTAAGGAAAGTGAGACCTGGGAAGGTAATAGTACTTGCAGAAGGTTAGTGATGGAGCCAGAATCTATTCCCAGGTTCGTCTGAGGAGAGAACTGCTGTTCTTAACCATCATACTGCATATCCCAAGTTTTTAAGAATACCATTGATATCATCAGAAAGCTATTTTTGAAAATGAAAATGGTTTGCAACAATAGTTCATTTCTGGTATAAGCATATAATTTATTACCTGTCTAATATTAAAAAACAACCTACCAAAATATCAGGACAACTAAAAAAATCATCAATATATTAAATCCCCTCAGTCCTGTCTAAAATGTTTAAAATTCAAATATGTCTCATGTTTCTTGAAACTGATTAGAAATAGAAAAAAAGCAGCAGTGTTAATTGTGGTTAGGTGAATGAAGTCTGGATTTTAAGGCTGGATGAAAATTGATTGTGCTAAAAATAGACTTCTGTAATTAAATGAAACTGTGCTGTGCACTCTAATTAGTCAGAACTTATTCTAAGTGGTAACAGTAAGGCCTGGTGTGTATCATTAAATGAGAGCCGGGCAGCCCCCACCCCCTCTGAGCTGAGGTTCCTCTGATGCCCACAGTAGTTTTATTTATGCACCCCCTGCTTGCATTTGAAACTGCAGGAAAGGGTGCATCTTTTTATAACCCAGATGTACACATTATAAAATCTTTCTTGTTCCTTCTTTCAAAAGACTTGTAATCGCTTTAAATTCTGAAGAACCTCAATAGGGGAACAAGTAACTGCCTTTAAAAGTACTGGAAGTCATTGGCACTTCACATTACCCACCAGGGGGCTTGGGAAAGTCAGTAAACATTGTAAAATTCACTTGACAGATTTCTCTCAGCAGCTATGAAGACAGGAGAGCCTGCATCTTTGAAAAGCTATTCAAGGCAGACAATGAGACTCCAAAAAATTTCTCCTAACTCCTTAGGTATCTAAGTGTTCAAGTTTCATGGTACTAAAAATCAAAGCTAATGTATTCTTATTGTTGTTTTTAACCTTTATTATTGTAAAATTAATACAAAATCAGAAAATTCAGAAAGTGGAAAAATGTAAAGAAGCAAGAGAAGCATCACCCATCGTCCCTTCATTCAAAGAGATTACTCTTAGCAGGGTAGCATATTTCCTTCAAGTAGTTTATCTAGCCATTGCCTTTGTATACCTGAGATCATTCTGTTTGCACAATTTGGTGTTCTACTAAAACCATTCATTGTAAAAGAAATTTTGAATTTTATTCCCAATTTTAACCTGGATGCGACGTGGCCATTCCATGTGCTTCTAGCATCCCAATCATAGATTCTCAAGATGCCTGCTGCCCTGAGCCTTCGTTGAAGGGAGGCCCCCACTGAGCACTGTGGTAGGAATGAGTATTCTGGATATGATAAAGGAAGAGAGCAAGATCTACTATTTATTTAGTAGCCTGGGATTAGTCACACTGTGTTTACTTTTATTCCCTGAACATTTGTATGCAGAAGAAATAAGGTTATATCTATCATTCCAAGCAACTTTGAAGAGTTCCCACCATAGCACAACCACCACCAGGCATGAGGGTGGTGTGGAAGGTGAGACTGGGAGGATTCAAAGGCGAAAAGCAACCTCAAATCAAGTTGATGGTGTATCAACAAGTCACAGGACTTAGAATCATAGAAATTGAGATTTGCAGCTAGAGTATGGATCTCAGCCCCAGACTCCGGTGTTCAGGAAATGTCCATTTCTTTGTTTTCTTTAAAAGACAATAAGGTGGTTTCCAAGCACCTCTCTTGCCACACTGGGAAGGTAATTTAGTCTCAGATGCCAAATCTGGGAAGCGTTTGTGCTGCCAGAAAACAAGGATGAGTCTTCACTTTCTTATTTGCCTTGCTACTGCTAACAGCCAACCAAGCCCCAAGTGGCTCCTTAAAATTCAATTTTTTCTCTATTTCCCTGACACATGGGGATCAGAGTTCAAGTCAGGCCTCTCCCCCAATCATCCCCTCTGTCATCCCCTTGGAGGTCAGTCTAATTTGCTAGGGAAATACCTAAAAACTAAGCACCAGTCTCTCACTCATCTCAGAACCTACCACCTCTTCTCTCCCCACCCCTGGGAAGTTCCCCTTCCTCTCTTAAGTTTTTTAAGACACTTGCCCCTTTTTCCTCTCCCCAGGACACCTAAGCCAACCTAGAACAGATCTTGGAGAAAAATTCTGCCTCCCTCCAGAACACAGATCTCCTCTGAAATAAAAACAGGTTTCCCTTTTGAAAAATGTAAAACAACAACAACAACAACTATAAGAAAAAGTGATTTAAAAAAAAAAAAAAAAAAGATCCTTCCATAGAAAAGACCTTGAAGACGACTCAGTCAAGTTCACAAAGCCAGGGTCCTTAGTTCTTTAGCATCAGGAGGCCAGGTTTGTCATGAGGTGATAAGCCTGACCTTGGAAGCCAGACTAGGAGTCAAATCCTGTGCAACCCTTGCTTTGTGACCATAGCCTTCTAGGATCACGTCTCTCCCAGCACAGTGCATGGTGCAGAGTTGGATCAACTAATGTTACTTTTCTTTGTCCATAGCCAACTGCCTCACCAAGTCACTGCCTACCCAGTCCCAAAGCTGTTGCTCTAGCTCCTCCTATCCTAGGAGCAACTGGAGGAAAGGCCACCCTTCCTAAAACGTGTGTCTGGTACCCACACTTGAAATTGGTCAAGTAATGGATTTTTCGCTGAATTTGGTCTAAATGATTCAGGCCCTTCAGATGATAGCGATTTTCCTGCTGGGGAAAGTCACAGTTCATTCAGTTCAACACTCTGCCCTCCAGAAACTCTTCGACTATGAGTATCATTTTGATCCATAAGGAAAACTGTCTTTCTGGAAATAACCCAAACGATCGAGCATGCTCTTAAATCCATCTCTCTTGATGTTTCTTGTCTCCTAGTCAGATACAGAGTTTTGGGATAAGATGCAAGCAGAATGGGAAGAAATGGCCCGGAGGAACTGGATATCCGAGAACCAAGAAGCCCAGAACCAAGTTACAATTTCAGCTAGCGAGAAGGTGACCAATTCTCTTCTTATACATGCTGACAGGTTTTCTCAATCTCTTTGGATCATATAATTATACCTTAGTTGGTAATCATTTTGTGAAAAGAAATCTAAGAACCAAACACACAATTTAATATCAATCAGATCAAGGAGAAATTCTGGTAGATGAAAGCAATATAATCAAACAATGTGTCAGAGCAGCAAAGCTGGAATGGAATACCCTTATTTTTATCAATGTTGATACAGACAGTTGGGCAGTCAACTACAGCTTGGATCCTGACTGCTTGCCTAGCTGACTTTGAGGGTATGTTGGAACAAGACCTGGGCTAGTCCCACAATGCTTTCTGTCAGTCAGTCCCATGAGCCACATAGATGAGCTGACAGAAGTGATATTAATGGGCAGGGGAATGAAGCAGGGCTTAGGACTGTATCTCACAGGCAGTCATTATACAGCTAGCAAAGAAACTCAGTGGAAAAGGTAGCCTTCACACAACCAGGTCAAGTCCCAAGGGGATCCCTCAGAGATATTTCCCTGACAGGAGCTCCACCAAATGCGAGCGCAGTGACCAGCCAGCCAAATTACCCATGAGGTCCCAGTTGCCCTTGGATTTGTGCTTTTAAAAACAGTTGGGGAGGGGAGGGCTTGAGAAATAAGTTTAAATGACTTGAAAGATAAAAAGATATGTGGAATTTTCTTATACTGGGGAGGGGAATAAGATATAGTATATGCTTGTATTGTGATTTTGGTTGAGGAAGTCTCAATAATATTTAGTTCTGGATAATTTCCATGATCGTTCAATCCAACAAATATTTATTTGTGTCTACTCTGCACTAGCAACTAGGGAAATGATGATTAATAGTCTCTGATCTTAGGGGATTTTCAATCTACATAGTCATTAAAATGTCTTTCTCTTCTTCATATTCTATGTCCCTCAGTAGGCCAGGCAATCTCATAAAATTGGAACAACCTCTCATTAAGAATAACTGTCTTTTCTACAAAATCAAAACTAAGTAAGAAGAACATTGATGCAGAACATCAGACTCTAATTACAGATGCCTCCCATTTCCATTCCCCACCCCCCGCCCCTTTGAACTACAGTCTTTGAACCTGAGATATGGCTAGGACCCTGAGCCCCACACTCCTGGGACCCCATATCCGCAACACAATTACATAAGCTCAGTGGCTTTTGATAAGGGGTTTGCCTTTCTGAAGGTCTCCATTTGATCTATTTTAAAACCTCAGTAGCATCAACAGACTAGCGTAATTATATCTATCAAATTAGAAAGATTTTATTATAATCCATGTAGCTAACATTGCAATAAATAATGTCTCTCAGGGACTTCTGTTGAGAGTTTAAATTGGGACATACTTTCTCAAGAACAATTCAGCTACACATATCAAGGGCCTCAAGATAGTTCATAGCTTTAGCCTAATAAATATCTCTAGAAGTCTATCTTAAGGTAATAATCAATGCACACAAAGATTTGAGCATGAGACTTTCACTGTATCTTTATTTATGAAAAAAATGAAAATAATCTGAAAGCCCATCAATATGGGTTTGACTAAGTAAATGTTAATCTAAATAATTATAATAACTAAAACGAAGTGGGGCTTACACTGTAAAACTGCACCAATAGCATGAACTTATTTGTTTAATGTGTATAGTCATAGAAAAACACTAGAAGATTATTTGTACATTCTGCATTGTTTAAATTTTTACAATGAAAGAAGATCTATAACTTTAAAACATGCACTCTCAGTGGGCGATATAGCCAGCAATGGGGCATACACTGGTTTGAGGAGTGGGAGGACAAAAGAAATCTTAGATATTACAATGGTTTATAACCCTCAAAAGGGCCACAGTGCATAAACAGATGTACAGTATGCAGTATTAACACTGCAGGGGACTGAGTGGGAGCATGTAGCAAAAATATATGCAAAAACTCAGTATTTTTACAATCTTGGGGAGCAGGGCAGGGGTTGGTTAAAACAAAATGAACAAAAGAAATATTAGAATGAAAACAAACCCCAAAATATCAGCAGTGATCATATGTAGGTTGTGGCATTTTGGGTACGTTTTATATTAGTCAATGACAAAATCTACAAAATCTAAAGTGTATATAATGAAAATGTACATTCATAATAAGAAAAAAACAGTAATTGAAATTTAAATGGTTAATTTTATGTTATGTATATAAAATAAAATTTCACCACAATAAAACATACCTCAATTGGGGGTTGGGGAGATGAGAAGAGATAAACCAAAGAACTTATATATATTACTTAGTACATAGCCCATGGACACGGGCAATAGTGTGGCAAAGACCTGAGGGGGTGGGTAAGAGCTGGGAGGAGGGGGTTAAAGGGGGGAATGGGAGACATCTGTAATACTACCAACAATAAAATATATATATTAAAAATAAATAAAATAAAATAAAAATTCCAAAAAATAATAAACGAAAAGAATTTAATTGCAATTAAATTAATTAAACACTTTAATTTAAATTCTAAAAGAGCTTACTGCATGTGAGAATGAGGAGATAAACCGATGGATCTGTGTTGGCCCTTCTGTGTTGTAGGGCTATTACTTCCACACTGAAAACCCCTTCAAGGACTGGCCAGGCGCATTTGAAGAAGGCTTAAAGAGGCTGAAGGAAGGGGACCTCCCAGTCACCATCCTGTTCATGGAGGCCGCAATTCTTCAGGACCCGGGAGATGCAGAGGTGTCTTTCCCCCTCATCCTGCCAGGCTCAGAGGGGGGCTGCATGCGCTAGTTGAGGGACAGAGGGTGACACAGAGGTCTACTGGTGGCATTTTCATCGAGTAACGGTTCCCAAAGGAGTTAGCCTGGCGTAGTGTGATATAAACTGTTTTCTAACCAAATCTGCAATATCTATCTATGGTGCCACAAAAGAAAGGGTGGAGAAAAGAAATGAAAAACTAAAATTGCCTACCTGGAAGCTCGGCAGCGGTATTCAGGGGGCAGTGTGCTGCCTTGTCTGGGTCTAGAGAGACACCTCTCTCCCCTTTGATTTACTCCCTCCACGTTTATTGAACACACACTCTGTCCCGGGGCTTGTGCCCCACACTAGGCTCAGATCCCTGAAAGGCCGGAGAAATGGAACAACTGAAAAGATGGGTCAATGGTCTATCTGGAGGAGCAAGTAAACAAACCAGTGCAGTGTAATAAATGCAAGTGCACAGGAGGCGAGGAGAGCAGACAGCAAGACACTGACTCAGCCTTCCCTGCTAAGTGGATCCAAAGCTGAGTTTTCAAGGAGAGAGGATTCATTAAAGACAGCAGGGGAGTGGAGTTGTTGTTTAGAGGAAGTGGTTCTTGGCTGAGCAGAGGGACCTGAAACATTAGGTTAGGGGATGAGGGGGGAGAGAATAGCAGAAGTGGAGGCAAGAAGAGGTAGGCAAGAGATTGAACTTCATCCTGAAAGCCATGGGGAGGGAGCACTAGGAAAAACCCCTTTCTCTGAGGTGTGAAGGGTGATTGGAGAGACCACCAAAGAGGCTTCTGCAATCTTATCTTGCTCCACGACACTTCCAAACCTGTGAAGGTCTGTCATAGGATAGTGGCAGGTATAAAATCCTTCTTCATAGATTGTAATTTTCAGGAAACTTTTTATAAGAAATATGCCCAGAGGAATTTGAGACATTTTTAGGACTGGGTATGTCCGGTGCTGAGAAGGCGGTATGGAATAGTGGGTAAGCTTCTCAGACTCTGCCATTCTGTGCGGGTTCAAATACAGCGGTACCCTGAGCTCCACCACTGGTTGGCCATGAGCCATGTGGTCTGGGGCAGGTCATTTAAAGCCTCTTAGCTTCCGTTTGCGCATATGTAAAGTGGACATCGCGATTATAATAACCATCTCACTGGGTTTTGCGAGGATTAAATTCGTTCAGTGTCTGCTACATCGGTATTTAGCCTTTACTACTATTGGTTGTACTTCGTGTTGAAAGAACAGGTAAACTGATCACGAAAGCCCCTGGTATCTTGTTAGTCAAAACACCGATAATGAAATGAGATAGAACTGAGTGCTGGCATTCTGAATCAAAATACTAGAATTTTTCAAAAGATATTTTAAAAAGGTGAAGAGAGTTGCCAAAGAATGTACATGCATAACCCATGGACACAGACAACAGAGTGATGAAGGCCAGGGGAGGGGTGGCAGGTACTGGGTGGAAGTGGGCAAAGGGGAGGACATCTGTAATAGTGTTGACAACAACAAAAAAAGATGTTTGAATCATTGTAGAAGAGAAAATCGTTGCATTAATAGAAAAATACAGGTCAACCTCCACCCCTCCCCCCAAAAAAAAATAATGTCACCTTACATTTCTAGATGCCATATGTTCTCATGTCTATTATATCATTTCACACGACAACTTTGGGAGGTTAGAAAAAGTATGCATTATTATCCCAGATTCATTAATGAGAAAATGATGACTCTTGGTTACAAACGGGTCCTAGATAATGTATGACCCAGGGTTTCTGAATCTGTGTAGACCCCAATCTAAGACAGTAGACATTCTGTGGACAGTGCAAGTGATGCCCAGAGCCTAGGAAGAAGCCCTCAGAGAAAGACTTCCATCCATCTCTTCTTAAGAAGCATTCTAGATGTATGGAAGGTGAAATAAAAAATGGATGCTGCTTTGTGTACATTTAAAAGATTAAAAAGAGTCACTGAAATTCTGGGGGGAAATAATTAATATTTTTATGAGTGTGTATGGTATGTGTAATAATAATTCATAATCTTATAGCACTTTAAGATGACTCTATAAGTGTTTTTATATAGCTTGTTTTAAAACATTCATAGCATTGGTTCTCAAAGGTGGGAGAGTTATGCCCTTCCCAAACCTTTTCAAATCCCCAAGACTCAGATACACCCCCAGCAAATTTGAGGACAAGATGTGTAATGGGAGGTCTTTTTTTATATGCATTGCTGTTGTAATGGTGTGAGAATTATTGTGCTAATATTAATAATGTCATTCTAGATATGAAAAACATTATCTGCTTGAAGATATTCCTCACATTATTTACAATAGCAAAGGGTTGAAAACAATCTCAGAGCAATAAAAGAACTGGTTGAGTTAATAATAGTATATCCATTCAACAAAATTTAAATTAAGAACTATAAGTAGGAAGATTTTGTAAAAACACGAAAAAAATGCTATGATGCAATATAAAGTGTTAAGTGTAGGCTTTAAAATTATAGGTACATTACATTGCACTTTATATATTTGTGCATTTTAACAGTAACTATACAGGGTGGGGCAAAAGTAGGTTTATAGTTGTTTACATGGAAAATAATACAATAAATAACAACACAGGAATAAACTGTGTCATGTCCTCAAAACTGTAAACCTCCTGCCCAACCCTATATTAGGGCATTAAACACCTTGTAAGGGGTTTGGTTTTGTTCTTCCCTAGTTCCTAAATTTCCTGTTGCCCCTTCTAATAACTGCTTGACTTTCGTTTATACAAGTTAATTTTGTACATCTTGAGATTTCTTACTGTCAACTTTATTTAGCTGCATTTCTGGATTATTTTTCTACCTTTTTGCATCACAAATGCATACTTTTGTGTACTTATCTTTTGGTCTTAAGATACCTGATATCTCAGAAACTCAGGGGTTTCCATGGGTCACAGGAGAGGTTTCTAAGTGTCACAAAAGAATTTGACTGAAGAAATGCATTCGATATTTTCCCCTTTTACAAGACTCTCCCACCTGAGACAGGTTGCTCTACACAGAGGGATCTGTCGCGGGCAAGTAAACCAACTACTGCGCGTGAGTGATTCTGCTTCCTCCTGCAATGTTGACATCACTTGTTTCTTGTAGGCATGGCAGTTCCTCGGGATAACTCAGGCAGAGAATGAAAACGAGCAAGCAGCTATTGTCGCCCTCCAGAGGTAGTGAAGCTAAGTGCAAAGCCACGGGACTGGTGGACACCTGTTAATGGATTTCCCATTGCTTCAGATTTACCTTTTGACCTTCATAGACATTGCAAAGAATTTGGCCAGAAGAAGTGCTGAGAGGCCCCCTATGATTATACAGAGCTGTGAAAAACGGGAACTGATGAGGAAATAATGTTCCTTAAGCTCAATGTTAGGCCATTTACAAATCATTGGCCTTCATTAGCATGAAAGAGTCTATGTCAGAAGCAGTCATAAAATAGATTCACTGAATAAATGGTCCCTTTTAATGTCCTATCCTTCCACAGCATCTGAAAGTTCTCTTCAGAAAAAAAGATACTCAAAATAATCTCAATGCAGTTTCAGCTCTGGTGTCTACAAAGCATCTCCTGAGATATTTTTAGCAACTTGCAAGTTTGAGCCCCTGACTAAAGCTCTAGACAACTTTGGGAGGGTGTGACATCGCACCGTACTTGATTAGAGCCCCCATTTAAACCCTGGGGGGAAGGACAGCCCCTACCAAATAGACTCCCACTTTCCCTACTCTTTCATATATATATATGTATCAGTGGTTCTCAACCTTGACTGCACATTAGAATCACCTGGGAATCTTTTTAAAATCCTGATTTCTGGGCCTCATCCTCCAGAAATTCTGTTTCTTTGTTACTAATGTTGTGGCCCCACCCCATAACAAAGAAACAATTTCCGGAGGATGAGACCCAGAAATCAGGATTTTAAAAAGATCCCCAGGTGATTCTATTGTGCAGCCAAGGTTGAGAACCACTGCTCTAGGGCTTGCTACTCAAAGTCTTATCCAGAGACTCCTAGCATCATCATCACCTGAGAGCCTGTCAGATCCGCGCAGCCTGGGCCCAACGCAGGCCCTCCGTATCAGAGGCTGCATTTACCAGATCCCCAGATGATTCCCATGCACATCGAGGTTTAAACAGCCCTTGCCAGAGGCCAGTGGAGTAGCATGAGGGGAAGCATCGTAGCCTGGGCCTCCCGTAAACCCACACTGATAGTCTGGAAACATGGGATTTCCCTCTCCTTTACACAACGCTGTTCCATCTTTCATCTCTGGATGTCCAGATGTAATTCAAACCAGTTTGCTTTGTGGATAAGGTGCATTTCATACATTGACAGTAGAGCAGCGTGAACGATAGCCCCTACTTCTCGTTAGATGGACTACTAATAAATTATGTGCAGGGATTGGCCACATTTTCTATAGTTTTTAAATTATTTATTAAAATTACCAAAACTGACATGCATCAGGGTGAGTTTTAACTTCCTTAAAAATAAGCGTAGGTCCTCGTTTTCGTGTAGGTAATGAATGTGATATTCTCCAGGGGCTTCACATAACCTTAGCAGTACCATTTAATTAATAAAGACCTCAGATTTTCTAAAGAACTGTTCAGACTCTAACTCCGAAAAAAAAAAATCTGAAACTGGCTTTTTCCCCCAATTCCTTCAGGTGCTTAGAATTGCAGCCCAACAACTTGAAAGCTTTGATGGCTTTGGCCGTGAGTTACACGAACACGGGCCATCAGCAGGATGCCTGTGACGCGCTGAAGAACTGGATTAAGCAAAACCCAAAGTACAAATACCTTGTGAAGAGCAAGAAGGGATCGCCAGGCCTCGCCAGGAGGATGTCTAAGTCTCCGGTGGATAGGTATCCACATCATTAAATTACACCCTTCCACACAATTAATCACCATGACAGTAAAGAACAAGCCTGGGGTCCCCAGCACCCGCTCCAGATGGCGTGTAGGACAGCGTCCTGCCAGAAGAGCAGCACTGATTTAAAAGATGGAGCTGAGAGTGGGCCCAACCTCTGGACACGTGATCTACACCATGGGCAACCGCAGATATTTATCTGAGTGCCATACACTAAAGCCAAATGCTTTGGACATATAATTAACCCAAAATAAATTATAATAAGTAGCCTTGTGCCAAGTTTTATAAAGCCTGAGAATTAGGTATGGCGGACAACGGGAGTCCTTTCTTCTGAAATTTTGTTTCTGTCAGCAATAAACCATGATGTTAAATTCTTTCTCACTGAGGCCTCAGGACACCCAGCCCTAGGCCCGTGGTGGGCAAACCGCAGCTCGTGAGCCACATGCGGCTCTTTGGCCCCTTGAGTGTGGCTCTTCCACAAAATACCACGTGCGGGCGCGCACGTACAGTGCGATTGAAACTTCGTGGCCCATGCACAGAAGTCGGTATTTTGTGGAAGAGCCGGTATTTTGTGGAAGAGCCACACTCAAGGGGCCAAAGAGCCACATGTGGTTCGTGGGCCGTGGTTTGCCAAGCCGCAGTTTACCGATCACTGCTCTAGGGTTTTCTACTTACAGGGTCAGTGGACCTCTCCTTTCCTAGCACTGTTCGTATCTCTGTACGACAAAGTATGTCATGAAAATCAGCAGGAATTGTTAAACTGCAGTATTAATAATAGTCCTCTCATACACTGAGGTATTTTAAGCCAGATTTTTTTTTCAGTCTGTAAAGAACAGCGAACATAATAGTAAATCATTTACGTTCAGACTATTTGGATTACAAATCTGCTTTTCCCCCTGGTAGCTCTGTTCTGGAAGGCGTGAAGGAATTATATCTGGAAGCTGCCCACCAAAATGGAGATACGATCGACCCAGACCTGCAGACAGGTCTAGGGGTGCTGTTCCACCTGAGCGGAGAATTTAATAGAGCAATAGATGCATTTAATGCCGCCTTAACTGTTCGGCCAGAGGTAAGTGCACAGCAAGAAACCATATGGTTCTCTGCTAAAGAAACGTTTTCACCAGATGTACTTCGTACATTCTCTTCATTCTCACCTGAGGATTTTTTCCCCATTGATTTTTAGAGAGAGAAGAGAGAGGAGGGGGAGAGGGAGAGAGAAACATCAATGTGAGAGAGACACATGATTGGTTGCCTCCCACATGAGCCCCAACTGGACCAGGATCGAACCAGCAACCCAGGAGCATGCCCTTGACTAGAAATTGAACTCGAGACCCTCCAGTGCGCAGACCAGTGCTCTAACCACTGACCGACGCTGGGCAGAGCTGTGCAGTTTTGCTACACTTTATTTCCCTGCACCCCGCGGTTGAAAGCGATCAGTACTAATGACATGCTACTGTGGCTATTAATACTTACATACCTAAAATAGAAACATGATTTGCCTGGCAGCATCCAATGGTAGCTCTCCTCGATGAATGAGAGGCGTTTCACAAAGCAGTCCCTAAAGATTTTTGAGTAATTCACCACGTCACGGCCCTCGTCCGTGAGCGCGGTAGACATGTTCAGCCATCAGCCTTCTCCTGCAGGGACAGGAGGACACTCGGCCACTGAGGCTGCTGCTGGTGGTTAGAGAGAGACCCCTCCCTTTGTCATCAGGACTATTCGTTATGGAACCGTCTCGGGGCGACCTTGGCGAATGGAGACCGCAGCGAGGAAGCCGTGGAGGCCTACACGCGGGCACTGGAGATCCAGCCCGGCTTCATCCGCTCCAGATACAACCTGGGCATCAGCTGCATCAACCTGGGCGCCTACAGGTGAAGTATGGCGGCAAGCGGGGGACCAAGAGCCAGGCGCGGGGCTGAGGCGGAGTAACCTGAAAGGTGGTTTGCCACCAAAATACCTCCTTTTAGGGGTAATCCTCCTCCTCCTCCTCCTCCTCCTCCTCCTCCTCCTTCTCCTCCTCCTCCTCCTCCTCCTCCTCCTCCTCCTCCTCTTCCTCCTCCTCCTCCTAAGGGTAAGCTTCCCAGCTTCAGTTCCTGAGGCCGGCTGAAGCAGCAACAATTTGTTTAGTGTTTCTCAGTCTTTAGGGAGCAGCCATCTACTGGCACCATGTGAAATGCACATTCCCAGGCCCCATCTAGAGATTATTATTATCATTATTATTATTATTCGGTCAGCCAGGGTTGGGACAAGTTATCTGGATTCTTAACATCCCCAAGGGCAACTCTGAGAATAATCCAAACCTTCATTTTCCTGGTAAGAAAAAGAAAACCTGGGGGGGGAGGGGGGGGCAGGACAACCCAGCAAAATGACTTAAAAAGGGTCCAGGGCCAAATTTTGGCAAAGCACAACCAAGAACCCAGGTTCTCTAAACCAATAAAGTGAGTAATAAAACGATGTTAAGGAAATATTTGTAAATGGTAGGTTTACAGTTTGAAATGTTCTTCTCCTTCTCTCACGATTCCTCATTATCACTTGGGTGTCCTCTCCTGTCTTTTCCCATCCACAGGGACCGTAAACGACCTTCGTTTCTTTTGTGTAATGAAAGTTCGGGTGATTTTTTTCTTCTTTCTTTTTCTTTTTTTTCTGATTTCTAAGTAAACTGGTATTGCTTTCATAACTGGAAAAAGAGAGACAACTCAATGTTAGTTTTTAACCCCCACCAAAAAATGCACACCCTTTTTCATTCCCAGAAGGAGGCAGGCTTTTAGAATCAGAAAAGCTTGGGTCAAGTCACAGTTCTGCCGTTTTTTGGTTTTATGACTCTGAGCGCATAACTGTGAGCCTCAATTTCTTCACCTGCTTCGAAAAAAGGGGGTGGCGGAGTAATAATGTCTATCTTGCAGGATTATTGTGCAGTTTAAGTATAATTGCCCAGCACAGAACAGATGCTCAGTACCTAGCAGGAGTCAGTATTATGACTGTTACTGCTGTCATCAGCAGTATCATTGTTATTATTTAGATACTGTTATTATAACAGTATCATTATTGTTATTATTATCCTATTGCCATCTGAAGAATTCCTGTTTCTGAACTGCTTTAGGACATTGTGCCGTTGACAAATGTTGAGGCTTTAGAAACTAGATGCTGCCGAAACTGGTTTGGCTCAGTGGATAGAGCGCCGGCCTGCGGACTGAAAGGTCCCAGGTTCGATTCCGGTCAAGGGCATGTACCTGGGTTGCGGGCACATCCCCAGTAGGAGATGTGCAGGAGGTGGCTGATCCATGTTTCTCTCTCATGGATGTTTCTAACTCTTTATCCTTCTCCCTTCCTCTCTGTAAAAAATCAATAAAATATATTTAAAAAACAAAACAAAAAAAAGAAACTAGATGCTGCATTTATAATAAAGGGATCTTAGAAAGAACATTCACCAGTCACTGATTGCTCAGGTCAAAACCAGGAAGCCTGAGCGGCCTCTGAGCAACTGGTTTGTTTTATGCTGTGGACGTTGTGACCTTGCTGAGGTGTTCATGACAGCCGCTGTGCAGAGGGCCCGCGTGCAGGGTCCCGCCTCCTGCACATCCGCCTCTCAGGTCTGACAGTGTCCATTTTGTATGTTAACTTCATCCCTGGCTTCCTCTGATGTCCCTAACCTGCTTTTATCTTTACACATTTTACTCACTTATTTTCTAGGTATATTTTATGATACAACTTAGGTCCTTTTTTGGAACAAGGAGAGATGTAAATGAATACATAAGTGCATGTAGGTACATTGAATTCAATTAAATGAGGCTTTTGTAAGGCTTCTGGATGAGTTTTTTCCATTTTTTTTTGTTTTTTAAAATATACTTTTATGGATTTCAAAGAGAAAGGGAGAGGAAGAGAGAGAAGCATCAATGTGAGAGAGAATCATTGATCGGCTGCCTCCTGCACACCTCTTACTGGGCATCGAGCCCGCAACCAGGCATGTGCCCTGACCGAGAATTGAACCGTGTGACCTCCTGGTTCATAGGTCAATGCTCAACCACCGAGCCATACTGGCCAAGATGGATGAGCTTTCTTATTTTTTTGTTATTACAACTTCTTAGTGTAGAAAACATACTTGAAGGGCCAATAGAACACTTGCTTGGCAATCACAGATGTAAGCCTCAGTAGGGCAAGTATTTGCAGGAAAATCCCCGAAGGTCCATGACAAGTACAAATGGGCAATCCTGGTGAGGTGTGGACTTTAATCCTCAAGCAGGCCAAAAGCAAGTCAATGTTAAAGTTGCTGGATAAAATACAGAATGCGTGGTTAAGTAGGAATTTCACATAAACAGTAAATATAATTTTAGGATAAATATTTCCCAAATATTGCATGGGACATACTTAAACTGAAACTTATTCATTGTTTTTATCTGAAACTCAAATGTAACTGTGCATCAAATTTAAAATATATATTGCTTTATTGATTTCAGAGAGGAAGGAAGAGGGAGAGAGAGATAGAAACATCAATGATGAGAGAGAATCATTGATTGGCTGCCTCCTGCATGCCCCCTATTGCGGATCGAGCCCGCAACCCGGGCATGTGACCTTGGCCGGAATCGAACCTGGGACCCTTCAGTCCACAGGCCGATACTCTATCCACTGAGCCAAACTGGCTAGGGCCGTGCGTCAAATTTAATAGCAACTTTGGAACTTCTCGGCTAAGTTTTGTACATCTTACATTGTCATGCTGGATGTGGGAAAGCTTGTGAAGTGATAAACATATTGCATTTTTTTCCTGAAAAAAATAAAAAGATCATCAAGTGAGACACAAAATGAATTCTGGAAGTAAGTTTAACTTGGGCTGTAAGCATATGTGTAAGAAATAACAACCCTCAATAGAGATGTGGCTCAGAGGAGAGCCAGGAGTTGGTACAAAGTCTGGGCCGTGCCCCTTAAGAACTGCAGGTGTGTGTGTGTATACGTTATAACACTCACTGTTTGTCACCTCACACTTTCTATAAGAAGCCAAAGGCACGCCCTACCCTAGTACTGAATACAGTTGAAGTAAGGAAGGGAAGTTGTGGCCTGAAATGAGGATACAGCTTAAAATGCTACCCTTTCGTCAGTCGGAGTGCCAGAGTAGAGTTTAGACCAGCCGTGGGCAAACTACGGCCTGCGGGCCGGATCCGGCCCGTTCGGCTGTTCTATCCGGCCCGCGGAGCCGAAAGAGCAGAGGGTTCTCTTGCTCTCCCCTCCGCTCCTTCACCAGCAGCAGTGTTAACATGGCAACGTCGGGAAACACGGTCGCAGCTCCTTCTTCTGAGTCCAGTTTAAGAACCCATTGTGGCCCTCGAGTCAAAAAGTTTGCCCACCCCTGGCTTAGACCAATGAATCTTAACCATTTCAAAAGTGAGGACCCCGTTTTAATGAAAAAATAAATCTCTTCCCCTTTGATAATAATACCAGGTGGGCAAAAGTAGGTTTACAGTTGTTAGTGTGGAAAATAATACAATAATTAATAAATCATAATCTCAAAAAAAATAAATAAATAAATCATAATCTCTATATATAAAAAGCTAATATGCTACCTGTCCCTCCACCCATCCAACTGGTCGCTATGATGCACACTGACCACCAGGGGGCAGACACTCAATGCAGGAGCTGTCATGACACACACTGGCCATTTACAAAGAAATGGCACCGCGGACCTGGCGCCGACAAAGCAACACTCAGCTTCCCCCAAGTGGGACACAGGCCCCGCCACCACTCCAGAGTGACAGCCCACCAAATCGCAGCCGACGCTGCCAAGACCCCATGGCTTAAAATGTGGCCCACAGCCCAGCCCAGTGTGGAAATGGTCGCTGTGGGCACCAGGTAATGACGTCACGTATCCTCTCCCTAGCGACTAGCCTCCTTGGAGTTTCTTCAGACCAGGAACACGACTTGCTTTGTAGCCAGGTGACAACATTTTACACTTTAACCAAATGTCTGTGAAGCGTTTTCTCATGCTTCATCTCATTTGAGCCTCACAGAAGTCCTGGAGTAGGTAGATAGGAGACTCGGTGGAATCCTATTTTCTTTTCATTAGCCGGAAAACAGAGATTTAGAAAGTTTAGAAACTTGACCCAACTGAAAAGAAGTAAGAAATGGTGGACCTTGAAAATGACTTCAGGTTTTGTCACTGCGCAGAATATAGTCAAATACTGCTTCAGTTAAATATTTTACCCTTTTTTCTCCCTGCATGATCTACAGTAATAATCTGCTTCATGTTGATATTTACTGCTGTGTTGCTGACAATTACCTGAAACAGAAGTTGGGGTGCTTCACTGGGCTGGAAAAAGTTTAGCTAAATCAGAAAGCTGGTCTAATTAAGCAAGTTTATTCTATATATATAAAAGGCTAAGTTGACTCACACATGCATGATACTTATAAAGCTCTCTCTGGCACAAATCGCACGAATGTGTTTCGATCTGTCATTGTCAATCATGAATTTGGTTGACACTTCTATTATAGAGAAAGGGCGAATAGTGATATTAAAATATTTCTTCTAATTAATTTACTTTCAATGTGTACAAATCCGGGCACTAGGCCACTAGTATGAGGATAAACTCTGTCTCCTGCGTGCCTCCTACTGGGGATCAAGCCCACAACCTGGACATGTGCCCTGACCAGGAATTGAACTGGCGACCTCTTGATGCATGAGATGACACTCAACAAACTGAGCCACACAAGCCAGACATCTTTCACATTTTTTTAAAAATATATTTTATTGATTTTTTACAGAGAGGAAGGGAGAGAGATAGAGAGTTAGAAACATCGATGAGAGAGAAACATCGATCAGCTGCCTCCTGCACATCTCCTAGTGGGGATATACCCGCAACCCAGGTACATGCCCTTGACCGGAATCGAACCTGGGACCTTTCAGTCCGCAGGCCGACGCTCTATCCACTGAGCCAAACCGGTTTCGGCTCTTTCACATTTTTAACAGCTACTGAGAACCTCACAGGGCTTTTCTTATGTGGGTCTTATCTATGAATTTTTACCATATTAGAAATTAAACAGAAAATTTTGAAAGATTCATTTAAATATAATAAACTAATTATATGTTAATATAAATTACATATTTTACCCCTAAAAAAACAAAACAAAAATAAATGTTTAGTGAAGAGTGGCATTCTTTTATCATTTTTGTGAATCTATTAATATTTTGCTTAAAAGAAGACTCATTTCTGCTTCCACATTCAATCTGTGGGATGTTGTAAATCATGAGGTCTCTAGAAAATTCCAGTGTACACTCATGAGAGAATAAGAGTACAAGGTAAAATAACATCTCAGGATTACTTTAAAAATTATTTGGCCTCATTGATCCTCAGGGTTCCTCCAACAACACTTTGAAAACAATTTAAGTTAATGATAAGAGTTTTCACATCAAATGATTTGACTGTACCTCACAAGGTTTTAAAATGACATCTATTCTCCCTATTATATAGTCGGGGGAACTGAGTCTTGTCGAAGATAAAAAATTTGCCCACAGTTACGTAATGGGATACAAGCCCAGATTCTCTGATAAGAAACTGAACTCAACCCCTGCTCCTCCCCATATTTCTATCACTAATAGGAAAAGTTAGACACTTCGTTTCTGAGTGGGACCAGATGCTGCCTCTTCAACCCTAGTTTTATCAACCACATCTGTGAATGGCCTACGTCTTCCAGTCGTTCTTGGAGTAGAGAAAAGTGGATGCATTGAAGAGTTAGCAGTGCCATTCTTCTTCTTCTCCCACATGATTTTCCTAAATAAAAATGGCTTTGCTTTTTTCTTTCTTATCTCACTGCATTAAACGATGATTTTTCACAAAAGAGTAATGACAGAATCAGAAAGTTGTTCATCTGATGAGCCCACACACCATAGAGAGGTGATTTAGGATTTTAGAGTAAAATAACTTCATCCATTTTTTGTTGTCTTATTTGCTAACTCTGAAATGCATTGCATTTGTAAATGTCTGTTTTTCTACCCTCTTAGAGAAGCGGTCAGCAATTTTCTCACTGCCCTCAGTCTGCAGAGGAAAAGCCGGAATCAACAGCAAGTTCCTCATCCTGCCATCTCCGGGAACATCTGGGCTGCCCTCAGAATCGCACTGTCTCTGATGGACCAGCCAGAACTCTTCCAGGCGGCCAATCTCGGTGACCTGGATGTCCTCCTAAGAGCTTTCAATTTGGATCCTTGAAAGAAAAGAAAAAGTAATGATCCCTGTCCATATGTGTACTCAGAAATGCAAACCTATTTTATTATGAATTCCAAAATGGTGACACCGGATGTTCAAAAGGCCATGGTGATAGAGCCTGAGGGAATTCCTACAGACAATGCCCAGTCTCTGTTCAGATCCCAAAGCACAAAATGTTATATAGAGTCAAGGTCGGGCTCGAAAGAAGAAGCGAGAGGCTCAAGACTAACCAAGATGAAGTAACTATGTGAATACTCTCTCCACAAGCTGCAAGCCTGTCGCAAGACACCTTTGGGTTTTCGTCCCCACTTGCGGCTGATGACACATCTAAGGAACTTGATCGTGCGACACCTGGAGAAAGCACTGCCTCAGATCAGGGAATTCTGACTATTTCTGAACTGTCCCCTAAAATTCCCCCTTTTAGAAGATTGAACATAGTTTGGGCCGAGGTGCATGCACAAATATTAACTCGACTAAAAAGAGGCATTGCTTAAACCCGTTCCAATTTTAACTTTTACTGTAGCTTTTTGATTCCAGAGAAGGAGCTTTGCTGGCAAAAGCAGTTTTTGCACTAGAAATTTTTGCTGTTCCCAATCAAAACTTTTCTGGGACTGTATATATGCACTTTAATATCTCATCTATGCCTTGCTGGAGTTTTGTTTTGTTGCTCCAATTTTTAACGTGGGGAAGGGGGGGCGGGGGTAAAAGATTTGGGAGCTCAGCCTTGTTAGCTCAATGGACCAAATAAAAATTCCTGAAAATAGTTTTTACAGTGTAGGGTTTTGAAGGAGTGTTTTCCTCAAAGCAGATGTGACATAGGGTGTAAATATGCAAACACAGATCTTATTCACGTGCTGTCTGAGATTGTTTGACCTTAAGCAAGAGGTAAGACACTGTTTCTTCATGCATTCTCTGCAGGATGGAAGTTTGATGATGTCATTTCTAATGACTTAACATTAACTTACTTAAATGTCATATTTTACTTGCTTACTAACTGCCCTGCACACTGATATTCCTTTTCAATTGTTAATATTTTAAATGGCATTTCTTAAGAGTGATAAATACATTTTTCCTAAAAATTGTGTTTTTCTGAGTTCCATAATAATCTCATTGCTCGCCCTTTTGCATTCCAAGTGACAGAGATCAGTACTTTTGAGCTGAATCTCCCTGAACATCAGAGGTTTCACATGAAAAATGCAAGCCCCTAGGCTCTCCTCTTGAACATTTATTAAGTACCAGGACTTCTGTTGGCAATGGTCTTTTATTCCATTGGTTCCATCCCACTCAGTTCTTTAGAGTGTTTTTGTGCTTGTCGGGCGCTCAGCAATTATTGAGAAAGACATCACTTTTGAAAGGATTAGAAAAATTGTTTGCAAAATGCTAACCAAAATATAATTTCACCAATGCCCAGTTCCGGTAACTTGTCCTAGTAAGTTGTCCCATTCTTCTTCAGTTTGTCTGCTTCCTCCAGAATCTTCCCAAAGCAATCTGATTCCAGCTTTTCTTCATGCCCTTTGGTTAGTAATAGCTGGTTTTACTCATGATTATAGTTAACCAGGAAAAAACAGCATTTGGATCAAGATAGTTCAATTGACTGGGGAGTGAGCTTCTACTGCACACATACTGAACTCGGGGTGCAGGTAGAAATGGTCTCCTCTGTTACATTCAAAGTCCCTGGCATAGGACAGGGCCTCAGGTAAACATGAAACCACAAATCCTTGAGGCTTACATACGTTATAACCTATTCTAGTTTATAAAGACAAAAAGTTGAGGGCATGTGGTGGCAGCTTTGCTGTTCACTGTCAAAGCTCACTAGGGTGAGGTGACGCATTGAGGCATTGAGGCATTGAGGCATTCACCATTGGGCAGCAGTGACAACCAATCTTAACCTACTTTCCTGCAGGCTCAGAGGCAAAGAAAAGCTCAACAAGATTTTCAAGAATGGTATTCTCCAGAATTTCAGAATCCTAGCAATTCGGCCTGGGAAGGACTCATGGGGCCAGCTGCCAACCGATGGTAGCTACCTGGTTGAGTATCCCTGACGGAATAGCATCCCTTCTCGGCCCGTTCCTTCCTCCTCCGTATCCCTGTGCATCCACGCTGGCCAGCTGACTTGCATCCATCATAGTCCATTAGGAACCTCTAAACAAAGGATTCAAAGCCACTTTCACAAAAGTTCTGTTTATGACAACATTCTAGACTTTCAGTAGTAACTAGATTTGCAATAATAATAGACTGTTTTATTAGCTTTGCTGCCACTACGTACATGAGATCAGTAACAATTTAAAGCCTGACAGTTGGGTAAATGTGCACTGTTTTTATTTAACTTGATTGTTGCTAAGTACTGGCAAATTTGGGGGCCCCGTTTTATTTTGCTATTTGAATATAAAGCAACTTCAAACTCCAAAGAATTGTTTTCAGCGAGAGTGAACAATTTTCCATTCCCTTCATAATTTGGTAATTTGAAAAGCATTTGGTAGGACTTTCTCCAATAATCTAGTGTCCATCAGAACCAAGATTTTCCTAAGCTATTACCTGTTGGGAGGTGCAGAATTATTGCCCAAGACATTTTTTCATAATATTTTTACTAAAATTAAGTTAAAACAGTTACTAAAAAGCAAGCGAAAGTTTATAGCAATCAGAGCAACACCAAAAAGTAAGTAGCAAGATCTTAGAACAGTCTTTATTGTATACATCTTTTTCTTAAGTTTATACACTTTTTTTAAAAAAAATTGTTTTTGGTATCTTATCGTCATGGTGTAAAGTTGTCATTTATATTACTCTTTCCATCTGAAAGGATGGCCTTGGTTCCCTTGGAAGCGCTCTGGGAAGGCCTTGATTATCTTCTCTCTTGCATTACTGAGTAGCAGCCCAAGATCTCTCAGAGGATGGTACAATTTTACAGGAGTGGCCACTCAAATGCATAGTGGCCTTTCAAGGACCAATTTCTCCAGGAGATTAGATGAAAATGCAGAGAATGCCAGTGATCATTGCTGAATTTCAAAATAGGTTATAACTATGTCTAGCGGGCTATTTCTCTGTGCTGTAGACCTCAATGTGAGGAGGAGTTGGAGGGATAGGAGAGGGGAGGGGAAGGAGTAAAGTGTCCACTTACTGGATTAATCATATTGAGTCACCATTCCCTTTGCTTTCTCCCTCAATCACTCCCCATGACTCCTTGAAAGAAAGGCAGATCTTGTTCAGCAAGAAACTTTCATAGAGAACTGTGAGCGGTGCTTTCTCAGCCAACCTGCGTTTTAACTAAAACAGCAAATTAGTGATACTTAACGGGGTTGGAAGTCCAGGACACACACCCATTTCCACAGTTTTATGCCATTTCTTCATTCTTTTTTTTTACTTTATTTTTATTGTTAACACTATTACAGATGTTCCCACTTTCCCCCACTTTGCCCACCTCCACCGAGCCCCTGCCCGCCGCCCTCCATTTCCTCTGCCCATCACCACACTGTTGTCTATGTCTGTGGGTTGTGCATATATTTTTTTTGGCTAATCCCTTAACCTTCTTTCATCCAGTCCCCCTCCCCCAACCCCTTTGACAGCCATCAGTCTGCTCCACGTATCCATGCCTCTATTTCTATTTTGTTCGCCAGTTTATTTTGTTTATTTGATTCCACATATAATGAGATCATATGGTATTTGTCTTTCTCTGACTGGCTTATTTCACTTAGCGTAATAATCAAGAGCTACTGAGTTGAATCTTGGGTCCATGTCCAGATAATTGCACTAGATCAATCTTTCTAGGATAGTGTTGCTGTACAAGCAAGACTTAAACACAATTGTACTAGCCCCACTTGTACCAGGACCTCCCAAACTACTTACCATAAACTTTGTGAGCTCCTTGGCAATATAAAAGCGAGCTCCTTTTGTGCTCCTTCTTCACTTGTCCCTGAATCAGTTCCACAGAACCGGGCTGTACTTTCACATGGTTATTGCTGTTGTTTTACACCTTGAAATGTTTTTTCGAAACGGTATTTTGAAGGCTTACTTCGTGTGCCATCTTTTCGAGGCCTCTTATTTTAGAAATTACTACACATGCACACACCTAATTTTAACCTTTCTAAATAATTCCAAATGCATTCCCTCTCTGGATTTTACTGCCCAGTTTACCTCCTCAGTATTTACAGAACTGGTTGAACTATAAACTGTTTTGAACTAAGTAGATACATACATATATATATTTTTTAAGAGTGTTGGAGATTAACTCTGGCATAAGGGTTTGTAAAAAGGCAATTTTTAAAAAATGAAGCATATAACCTCAGGTGCAGAAGTAACGCATGCATTAATCCTCGCAAATCTGCCTACTCAAATATTAACCAAAGCATGCAAGATAACACTACTGAATGTGAACTTACCCAGTGCATGGTTACGCCGCATGGGTTAGCTTATTTTTCCTTGCTTCTGAACAAGGAAGCATTTTCATGAACTTTGTGTTACAGTTTTTCTATTTGTTTTTAATATCCTATCCTTGAGATTGTTTTCATGCCGTCACACTGAACTTGACAGATATCCACGTGCCTGGTTTATGCAGCGTTGCAGCCAGTTGGCCAAACTTCTCCTCTGACCAGCAGAGGCACACAGATCTAAAACTTAAGCAAAATCCACATATCCGAAGACTACTGAACAAAATCGTGTTGATTGCTTCAGCTCAGTTTTGGGTTCTAAATGCTGAATAGTGCATTTCAAATATTTTCCAAAAGTTTAGGAATAAATTTAGAAATACTGAGATTCTAAATAAGGTAGAGATTAGAGTAATGCCAGGTACATGAAAACCATTATAAGGGAAATGAACATGGGGCCTTAGTAGCCTCTAATGTCATGTAGCAAGTGTGTAGATGCCACACCATGTCCTCAACGTATTCCTGTTTGTATGGTAGGTTGAGCTACTTGAATCCATGTCCCTTAAGAAGCTGGACTTGGTCAATATGTCTAAAAACATTGAAATTTGAGGGTGATGAGGTGGTTTTATGGTCACTCAGACCAGC